GACAGAAGAGGATACTGTCATTTGAAGGAGATAGCTCTAGATCGCATTAAGTGGAGGAATTGTTTTGGAAGAGACCGTGGACCTGTCGTCTGGCAGATTACTGATGATGATGATGATGATGATGATGATATCTTTTGTACTTCCATCAATAGTTTACATCTCTTACATTCCTGATAACAATATGTAGGGCATATTCATTAAAAAACTCCCTAATGTATATAAAGTACAGTGATATATTGTAGCATCCTGTTGCACTTCTCACTTAGTGCCAAGTAGTTCTACAGTCTTATGTGCAACAATTTATTAAAACATGGTAATGCAAGAATCACACACCAGATAGCAACAAATATACGTGGGTTACTTCAAAAGTCATGGCAACTAATTTTTTCTCGGCAAACACGTTACAGTGTAGAAAGTTCAAAATATACTTATGAAAGTGCATGATATACCCCTCCGATAGGTTTAGTAAGATCAGGTAGATATGAAGGGGTGTAGGTATAGTAGGCAAGAAAAATTGCACATTATGGAATGACTGTTTTTTTTTTTTCATTCTTCAGTCCTCAAAAAATTCAACTGTGATTAAGAAATAAAAAATTCAGTGTGGGTTTTGTAAGATTCCACGCACAGTTGCCTGGTCAATCCCTGTATGTCTCTCTAACTCCTTCCGAGATCAGCGCCTATCTTGCTCCATGCACTGGTCGATCACAGCACAAGAAACATAGGTATGAACAGACACAGGGCATTCACTACGTTGCAAGCCAGCACTTGCTTCTCTTCCACTTTGGAATGCTTCTGTCCACCTTGCAACAGTTCTGTATGGTAGAGCACGATCACCCAGAGCTTCCACAAGCTCTGAGTGACACTGAGTCACATTTCTGACGTGAAGCACTGCTATTTTCACGTAACAACGCTGTACCAGCCAGCTAACGTTCATTCTCGATGAAGGTTATGATCACACTGACTTCGCACTGTACTTGCTTCATTGTCCTTGGACTTCCGCATCATCTAGTGGCATCATTAGAAATCAGACGTTGCTGTCTCTCAGCGGGAAATTTGGAAATTCTGGTTGGAGCTTTCGAAATTTCGGAAAAATTATGTTGCCATGACTTTTGAAGTAACCCACGTATATTATAAGAGTGAGACCCAGTCCAACTCAGCAAGCAGTTGGAAACAAGACAAGGAACATAACACAGCAAGAAGGAATGTAAGTACACAAACAAGTAAAATTATACAAATCAACTTTGCAATACAACTTTCTAATACAAGAATTTACACTTTTTACAGACACATGTACACACTGGGGGAACCATACATCAACAACTAAGCATCAACACAAATGCAGCAGTTTCTTTATCCACAACTGTTAACACCTGATGATAACCACTTTTGGACAAAATATGTCGTGAAAGACTTTTAAAGTGACTGGCTTTTATTAAGATTTAATAAATTGTTGTACATACGACTGTAGAACTAATTGGCACAAAGTGCAGTGAATTTGAACTTCCTGCAGTTGCTTTGTTTCCTTTGTTAGCACTATGAATATTGTATGCTGGAGAAGTATAGTAGTTGGCCATTTTGTGTTATTGTGCAGTGCAGTATGCTAATTCTTTGTCATACTTTACCTAGTAATGTTTTCACTGTATACTGTGTTTGTAACATCATACTAACATGATATTATTATGCTTTTTTGCAGATTTTGAAGTACTGTTGTTTATATGTAAAAATTTTTCTTATTCCAGGTGAAACCCATTCTTGAGTTGGTGGCACATAAACTGCCATTCGCAGCTAAGGTGGTGAATCAGCAGATGATGGAAGAAATGGCCAAAGAGGAAGAGAGATCAGAAAAAGAGAATTTAAATCGTTACACTTACAAATATGTTGTACAAAACAATTTAGGAGGCTGTCATAATTGGATGTCACCATATGACAAACAGTGGTTTGGTAAATATATATAATAACTTGGATCATTTATTTGTTTGGGGTGATCTGAGATGGAGAATGTTCTGATAGAATTGGGTACTTTGAATGAGCGGGTGGAGACATCGCTAGGAACATCACTTGTGAACACTTGAAATGGATCCCTAGAATCCATTGTGGCTTAAATTCTCAGGCTTTACATTAAGGTGTCAACTTGAGATGAAAATTCTGTAATGTTACAGAAAAGGGAGTTCAGTAAAACAACTGGTCAAAATGAAATAAGAACCAGCACATGTCTGTAAGGAAGATATGCTTCACTGAATCACATAATGATGCCAGGAACTACTTTGTTAAGTACATTACTATGTAAACATTGGGTATTGTTTAATTTTTTTCCTGAAAAGTGATGTTTGGAGACTAACCCTCATTGCCATAATACCACAGAATTGGCAGTCAACCTGTATCCAGAAATTCTTCATTATCTCTAGGTTCATTACATTTTTACCAAGTTGATCATTAGGTGAGAATACACAAGGGCTAAGAGATTGTTAGCGAGCTGTAAATTCAGTTCAGTCATATATGACACAATTAAATGTATTCATATACATGTGTGTGTGAGGGCGTGCGCAAGAAATTAATAAAACAGAAAGGTAGAGACTTTTTTTGATGACTCGTTACAGTATAGATAGTCTTTGATGTCTAATAAATCTAGCAAAAATGTTTAAGGATAAAATTAAGAGGTTAAGTTTTTGTACTGTGCTTGTATATAGCATATCCCACTTCTGAGAGTTTTCTTCATGTGTGATGTAGCATTTTTTGGTCAACCTGTATTTATTTATTTTAGTTATGTTGTAGATTGCCCCAAAACTCCAATAAAAGCTGATATGAAGACAAGCAACAAAGTATGAGTATTAGGGGTGAGCCACAAAAACTGGCCCTAGCACTGCGACCTTCCATGATCTATTGTGCTTCCCCTTTGGATTAACCCTTTATTAATCCTACACTTCAAAGGAAATGTAGGAATTTATTTATGGGGGTGTTATAAAAGTAACTTGGTTCCGTGAAGAATTGACCCAGGTGGCGATATCTTAGGTAAGCTACAGACTCACAATCACATAAGATGTGTGTGGCTGATTCATCTTCTTGTAGGCGCCTTTCACAATTTGGGTCGTCTGTGAGCCCCAGTTTGAAAAGGTGCTCTTTTAGGTGGCAGTGTCCAGTAAGTAATCCTACCACCCATCAACAACAAAGTAACTGAAACATAATTTAAATTTTAATTTCATTTCGAACTTTCTAAAAATCTGTTGCCTTTTGTGTATTTTCATCTCACTGTGACCATCTCTTTGAAGCATTGAAGGAACCAAGAGAAAGTGAATATTGTAAAGATAGTACATTGTGTAATGGTAGAAACTTCTAATTATTAGTGAAATCACAAAGGGGATGCAACACGACAAAAGTGATGAGAGACATTTTGTTGGTTGTAGTCTGAAGATTCTTGTATTATAGCTTTCATAATTACTGATCTCAAGGAATGTGTATCTTTGTGTCACTGGATCCATCAGCATGCTCTGCCTGGATGCATTGTAAAAGATAATGGTGGTAATAATAAAACTTCTCATTTAATTTGTCATTTCTTCTTTCTTTTGTTATCCATTATTTGCACCATGTATGNAGAGTTGGCGGGGGGGGGGGACCTGTCCATGTTCACGCAATGAGTATGTATGTATGTGTGCATGCGTGTATGTATGTACGTGCACCGCAGTTGCGGCGGTGTCCAGGTCATCCCCTTGGACCTTGAAAATCCAGGAGAGGGCTATGCGGAGGTGTCGCGCTGTCTCATACCCATATCTGCAGCAGGTCTCCAAGGTGAGGAGCCTCTAGTTGATAGACTAATGTAGGTAAGGGAAGTCAGCAACAGTTAAAAGAACAGGGCAGTGGAACACCTACAAGGAAGCCCTTACGTGTTACAACAAAGAAATAAGGAAAGCCAAGCGATCCTCATGGAGGAGACACTGCCAGGAGATCAGTGATGTACCAGGTGGTGCCAGACTCATGAGGATCATGGCAAAATAGGCGACCAACAAGGTCAGCACGATTAAGCTGCCTAACGGGCACTATATTCAAACAGGAAGGGAGACACTGAACAAATTATTCAGGGTTCACTTTCCTGATTCAAAATTGATTGATAATTTGGACAATGGACAGGGTCAGCAGAACCTGGGCACTTGCCAAAGCAGGATGAACAGGGCAGACTGGAACATGGCCTAAGTCACAATTAACCAATCAAAAATCAGATGGGCACTGAATACCTTTAGACCATTTAAGTCAGTGGGAACAGATGCATGCATGCATGTGTACCTGTGAGGCAATGCTATGTGATGATGCATGGATGGGTGCGGCTTAGGGTACCTGGTCAAGGATATGTCCCTAGGGTAATGTCCCTTCCCGACTGTTAATGAAACACCTTTCTCTTTTCTAACTCAAAAGAAGAAAGTAACATTATTAACTCAAGAAAATAATAGAAATGATTTGTCTAACTCTACTCTAATTGCAATCGCCTCTCCTCTCTACTGAGGTTATCAAGCCTGGCTGTGACAAACAGATCTCTAGTTAGAGAATACAGCAACTTGGATGTGGTACATGTGGGGCGTGAAGACTGAAGAGGTCTGTGGTTGGCCGGCTCAACTATGCGCCACATAAGGCTCACCAGCTCCCCTTGGAGGATGGACCATTTATCTATCTCAGTACACTTATATCAACTACAAAGGAGTGATCCTCACTTCCTCTGTAACTAACCTCAAATATCCACTGTTTTCCCCAGGCTCCTTGTAACGAGTTACAATTGGATGGCCATCCTCGTTATCTTGACCCTACTGGAACTCAAACTCCGACCCCCTGGTTGTCAAGCCCATGGCCAGTCATTATATCAACTTTGCCATCCCAGTTCACCCTCATACAGTTTACTTTGAACTATTGCTTCATCCTTCTTTGGTTCAAATATTCTTTTCAGCACGCTGTTCTCAAGCACTCTGTGTGTTCACAAGTGAACAAGTCTGTGTTCCTCCCTTAATGCCAGAGAACAAGTTTTGCATCCATAGAAAATCACAGGCAAAATTATACTTTTGTATAATCTAATTTTTACTTATTTCAGATAGCAAATGAGAAGATGGAAGGTTCCAGACAGAATGGTAGCAAGTATTACCCAAATTCAATCTGCTCTTAATTTCCTTCTGAATCAAATTCTGATTTATTCCTTTTGTTCCCAAATATTTGAACTTTGTCACATTTTCAAAGGATCTTAGCTATCTTTATGTTTTTGCCCTGCATTTTGGTGATGTCACTGGCTTCCCACTGCAGTGGCCCGGGTTCGATCTCTGGTCTGGTCAAGTGGGATTTGTGGAGGAAAAAGTGGCACTGGGGCAGGTTTTCTCTGAGTACTTCTGTTTCCCCTGCCAATCTTCATTCCATCAATTGCTCCACAATCACCCTCACCTATCATCTGGGGCTGGTAGAATAGGCCAGAAGTGGCCGCAGTACAAGGGACTTAGTCCCACCCCACTAGCAATTAAAAAAAAATCTCACTAGCATCAAAGTTTTTTTTTCTTTATGGTATCTATATTATCACCGAGTAGATTCACATCATCAACATAGATCAACAGCTGATGTGTCCCATTTAATTTCAGTCCCACCGGGTTTCCCTGGACCCTCATAATGGCAAATTCTAAAGCAGAGTTGAAAAAAATTGCAATAAAACATCTTGTTTTAGACCATTTTGGATAGGAAACATGTCAGACAAATGTTTACCTATATGGACTTCAATATTTTTTTTAATTTAATTAATAGCATATTTACAATCTACTCTCGATAATATGGAGTAATAAGTAAATTTATTCTAAGTAGGTGTCTTGACTAGAGAAGTCATCCACTGATGATACTCTGACAGGTCCTGCAGAGGAATGGTGATGGTTTTAATCTTCGTCATCTGCAGATAGTGGCAGGTCAGACAGCCACTGTCTCCTCAATCTTCTTACATTTGGTGGGTTGCTAATTTCTTCAGTTAGTCTGTTATTGTGTCTGAGTGTACTTTGATGGTAGAGTGTTGGCAATCTAGGTATTTCTTCTATGAAAAATTTGATTTGCAGATTATTGTGGATAGTAAAGATGGAGACATACCAAGGTCCTTTAGTTACTGAGTGCAAGAATTTGGATTGAAGCTCTTTGAATTATTTTTGTGTTTCATGGTTTTGTACAGCCCCATAGCTGTATACCATATGTCCATGTGGGTTTTATTATGCACTTATACTGGATCTTGCTGCTAGCAGGGCTATGTCATCCGCAAAGGTTGCGATTGTAAAGTTGTTTGTTGTGGGCAAGTCTGCAGTATAGATTAAGTACAGCAGAGGCCTCACCACACTTCCTTGTAGTACACCTGATTTCGCCTGGTAGCAATCTGAATATGAATTATTATATTTTATTTGAAAGTGTCCTTCAGTGATGTATGACTTTAAAAGTAGGTAATATGAGCTTGGGAATGTATTTTTGATTTTATATAGTAGTCCAGTATGCCAGACTTTGTCCATTGCCTGAGCTATGTCAAGGAAAACTGCTGTACACAATGTTTTTCCTTTGAGGCTTGTTGCAATGTTGTTTACGATTCTATCCATTTGTTATATTGTGGAGTGTCCTTCCGCTAATACAAATTGGTAGTTCGGAATAACATTTGACAGGTCTAGGTCGTTTCTAATTCTCTTCAATTGTAACTTTTCAAAAAGTTTCAGTGTCACCAGCAACAAAGTAATCGGCCGAATTTACTTCATTGGCTAGTTTCTCTGATTTAGGTATCATTATGATATGTGCGAATTTCAACATTATTGGGTAGTACGACATTCTGAGCATGCTGTTATAGATGGTTGTTAGCAATACTGTTGCATTTATTGGTAACTGAGTATTTTTCCTGTGATACAGTAATAACCGTATGTGGATTTATGTTCTTAATTTCTTGTACTACTTCTCTAGGTGAGAAGGGTTTGATAGGTAATGACATTTGACATGGTATTTCCAGGAAGTTTTCAATTTTACTGTCATTTTGATTCATGTTAGAAAGTGGTGTAAATAACTGTAGAAGATGTTCTGCGAATGTTGTGCCTTTTTCATTATCACTTTTTGCCCAGCTTCTGTGCACCTATTGGCGGCATCGATATTTGGGGTTTTTGAACTTTTTTGTTGCCTTCTGGATTGTGTGGTCATCTTTAGAGAGAGAGACGCGATTTAGTGTTTGAATGTTTTATTCTTCACGTTAGTTAAGGTGTCATGTAGTTTTCGCCTTAATCTTTTATAAATAAGCCTGTCATCGTTGTTTCTTGATTTCTGCCATCTGCTTCGTGCTTGCGTTTTTCAGTTACCAGCTCACATATATGGAATGGGATATTATCTGTTGTTGTATGTCTTTCTTCTTTGGGGTTTTGTAAGTGTTTATATATGTCGCAACCTTTGTAATTAGCCAGATGGTTTCCTCCGCATAGGGCACATTTTGCTGGAGTATTTGGATTCTTTGTACACAAGGTTGTGTTGTGTTTGCCTCCACCTTTAACACAAGCATACAGTCTTTTGCAATATGTTTTTATATGCCTATAGCACTGACATTGATTGCACTGTACAATGTTGTTTTTCTTTCATGGGGCTTTGAATGTTACTTTCATATTGTGTAAGTATTTAATTTCATATATGCTCTTGAATTGAAATGAGCCATGGACTAGGGCCAAAAAGGAATATCTTGAGAAGATATGTAACAAGATTATAGAATTGGCATATTATAGAATATTGGCATCGAAGACTCCCAGGGGAATAGAATAGTAGATCGGAGGAAAGTGCTGAAAATTTGGGAAAATTACATTACAGAACTATATGATCGACCTAATTGGCCAGAAACATTAAAAGTTGAACGGGAAGAAGAAGTAGATACAGATGAGAAAGGACCATATATTTTACAAAGTGAGGTGGAAAAAGTTATCAAGGAAATGAGGAAGGGAAAGGCTACAGGAGATGATGATGTACCTGGAGATGTGCTCAGGTTACTGGGAGAAGGTGATTTGAAAACACTGACAAAACTAATGAGCACCATATAAGAAACTGGGGAGTGGCCCAAGGACTTTACAGAAGTGACAATGATTGCCTTAAAGAAAAAGACAAAAGCTACAAAATGCAGCAACCATCGCACAATAAGCCTTATTGCACATAGAGCAGAGATAATAGCAAAGATACTTAAAAGAAGAATTGAAAGGAAAATAGAGGATATACTTGTAGAAGATCAGTTTGGATTTAGAAGAGGAAAAGGAACCAGGGATGCAATTGGGATGATGAGAACTATAGCAGAACGAACTTTGGAGATAGATGAAGAACTGTGTGTTTGCTGGCAGAAGGCATTTGACCGTGTAAACTGGACCAAATTAATTCAGATCGTAAAGGAAACAGATATCGATTGGCGTGAAAGAAGATTGATTAGCAAATTGTACGTGGTTCAGAAAGTTAGAGTATGACTGAACAGAGGGGAGACAAGAAGTGTGCAGATTGGAAGAGGAGTTCGACAAGGATGCTGCTTGTCACCAATTCTGTTCAACTTGTACAGTGAAT